GTATTTATGATATTTATTTTATTTTATCAATTTAGTTATATTTCTGCAATTGATTTTCTTAATTCTTAACTTAAACCTGAATTAAATATTATGAGTATTTAATTAACTGTTTCCACTTATCCAACTCTAAAAGTATATTAGTAATATTAAATTACCTGCTATCAAAAATGGCTCTAAGATTCTTCTCTTCATCTTAACAAGTCTTTATCCAATCATTAAGTTCTTTAGTTTTGATTGATGCAATCGATTTATTAGTATTAACATCATTTGTAACTTCAACAATATCTTATTATAAATGTAAGACTTAAGCTTTCAATTATGCTACTGATGCAGCCAAAGTTTGATTGGCTAAAAGTAAGATTTCTCTATTAATATATATGGATAAATTAATAATACCTTTATCTAATGAATTCAACTTCTCTTGCATCATCAACTAATAATTCTTATTTTTAAAGTTCATAAATAGAATCAATTAATCCTTAGATTGTAGCAACAATTTTCTCAACTTATTCTGGAGTTTTAGCTTATGTTGATGCTTTTAATAACAATTCAACCATTATTCCATAACCTCTAGGTGTTGGATGTGCTTCCTCTAATAATAATAGATAATTAGATGTACTAAATTTGAGATAGTGTTCATTTGAATTGACTTGTAAGAAACTAACAGAACCTAATCCAGATACAATTGATTTAGCTTCACCTAAAGCTGCTACATAATTAGTTAATTCATTTCTTCTATCTTAATATTCTTATTTTTATTATTCTCTAGCAGCTGTAATAAGTGCAAGTTTATCATTATTTCTTTATTCTTCAGAATCCTTTACTAATGCTTATTCTTATTTACTAATCAATTCCTCATTTAGTAATGGTACTAGTATTTAAAATGTATATATATACATTTTCTTTCATCATCAGCTCTCTTAGCATTTGCTCTATCTATAACACTCTAAGCATCATCTTGTCTTGTTTAACATTAAGTTTGTCTATTTCTTAAATTAGTTTGAATAGCTCCTTTTTCTTATTCAGCTGATTTCAATATTTCATTTAATGATTCAACAACAGAATCTACTGCTGATCCATTTGATAATTCTAATTGGACAGTTTACAATATTGTTTTTCCAAAATCTGTTTTGGGTAACTAAGTATTACGTTGTTTGTACTGTATTAAAGATGTCGATGGCTTCGGTGGCTGATGATAAAGCAATCAAAACACAAAGAAATACAATAATCTTCATTTAATTTATTAATCTGCATAGAAAACGACTTTTTTTTGTATTTTTTTCATCAAAATTTTTATATTATTAAATTGCATTCATTAATTATATCAAGGAGTGCCCTCTTTCATAGCTTATTATTAAATTAATCTTATTGATTTGTATTCCTCCATAAAAGTAGGATTTATTGTACTTGAATATGATTTGGATTTGGTTGAATTATGCTGTTCAAATACTTACTAAAATACCCACTTAAAACTAGCAACCTATTCTATTTGCTAAAAGGAAGTACATCTATAAGGATCATATTGTTACATTCAATGATATACAAATTTTAGTAACTGAATCTGATTTCTGTTCAGTAATAAATAATTTAATAGCCATAATCATTATTGTTGCTGATGTTGTATGATCTTTTGATTAGAATACTGGAAATGCTATAGATCTCATTTATCTAGCATTTGCCTAACTATAATTTAATTAATACCATTTTAAGACAATTTTAAATGGTTTCATAAATTAATTGTCTCTCTTCATCCTATTAATCTTAAAAACTCATTTCATTATTTTCTTGAACAACAGCCAATATATAATTTTTTTTGTTTTCTAAACTTTTTAATTTCTTAATTACTTTTAGTTGATCCTACAAAAATACAATTCCCATTTGCTGGTATAAATGTAGGTTTATCATTTTAAGGAACATTTGAAAATTGTTGATCAGTTGGCCAAACTATACAATCTACTGACTCATTCTCTATATTTCCTGCTGTTAAAAGGACATCACATCCATTAAATTTCTATTCGCATAATAATTAAGACATCGTAGATTACATACCACTCTTGGTATAACAAAAATTATTTCCCATTATAGTTTTATATATTATTATACTATAATTTATTATATATTAATATATATTATCCTACTAAACTTCATATATCAATTAATATTTCTAATACATACTTATTAGTTAAATATTTTCAATTAAAACTCAATTTATTAATTTATTATTGATGTTTTCAAATTTGTTCTTATAACTATTAAATATAATATATCCATTAAATTTGAATCATTATTTATTTACAATTATTTTATCATTTTTTGTAATTTTTTATATTGATTAAGTAATGATTAATTTAAACTAAACAAATCATTGTATCTTCATATAAGTATTATTCTTATTTATGAATAATGATTTTTTATTGTCAAAATAAATTGTAATTTTATTTGATTTCCTTTTAGTTACACATTTAAATATGATTATTATTATTCATTTAATTTATATTGTATCTATTACTATTAAAAGTATATTTCCATATATTCAATACTTAATAATATTTAAGGAATTCTTATATAATAAAAATATGATTCAATCTTTATTTTTAATTATTTCTAAATCAATATTAATGTATTTAAAATTTATATAGATCTACATAATATTTGTTCCATATTTCTATCTTTAACAATAGTATAATATAAATACTCTGGTTTTATAGATATAAATGTTAATTTATAATTTTAATATTTGAATTATAATTCATCTACATTTTATTCTTGTATTATAAATATATTTATATTTAACAATAGAAATAAATTTGATAATTTATATTGTTATAAGTATTTATCCATTATATAGATTAATTAATTTATGAACATGAATTATTAATTTTATATCATATATTCAACATTTATTGTTATTTATAAATTATGGATTTAATCTTTTTCAATCAGAATAATTTTAACAATTTTTAATCTTAAGCTTGTATTTTGTTTCTGAATCTTCGTATTATAATATTATTATTAAATTACATTTATGTATTTTTTAATCTTGATAGAGTGTCTAATTTATTAATGTAATTTATATGTGTTTTATTATATCATATTTATAATAAAAGGTGTTCTATTTGATTTTTCATATTGAATTTCTTGGCATATTTAGATGTCTATTAGATTTTAAAAAAGATAAATTATTTTCTTTTAGAGAACAAAACATTTCAGCAAATTAGATTCAAAAAGGTAAAATATTTGATATAAATAATTTAATATACTTTTCTAGATGAAATTCATTATGTTTTCCAACCTAATTGGAACACATTTTGAGTCTCTAGAGTATATGAGGTAACAGGATTATGATTTGGAGGGAACAACTGGAATCTATCTTGAATCTCCTGATTGACCTCCTCTTACATATACCTGATTACCAACACTCATTCTATTATAATCTCACTTTTTACATTCTATTATTTTTAGGAATGTACAACAGAAGACCTGAAAGCAGAAATTCACAAATTACAATTTTACTACATAAAGTATCAACTGGGTATGAAGTACTGGAGGTGCAAACAGAACAGCGAAAGATGATACAAAAGCCTTAAACATAGCCAATTCCACCACCTGTTAAAAAAGAAAACACAACCACAAACATTACATAAGAAACAACACAAAGCAAGGTAATAATTGGACTTCAACCTTTTTAGAAGGATTGGTTTTTGTAAAATTGGGAAGCCATCATCCCAGCTCCTGCTAGATGGTTTCAAATTGATTCTATTCATTAAATTGAAAAGGATTCCCTCCCAGAATTTTTCCATCAACATTTTCACAATGACAATTCATACTATAAGGGTAACTATAAGACTCCTCTTACTTATCTTAAAATAAGGAATAGTATCTTATAGAAATGGATAAACACTTAAACAAAATATCTAAAATTTACTGATTGTCTCAATTTTATAAGCGGAGATGCTTCATCTTTATTGAGAGTGTACACTTTTTTAGAACATTGGGGATTAATCAATTTCTAATACAATCCTAATAATCTTCCAAATTAGGGATAAGTGTATCAATAAAATGGTACTTTCTTAGAAAGAATAAAACTTAATTTCCAAAGCAATCAAATAAATTTCCATAGTGAACCTCATTATGAGTAAGAATTATGTTAATTAAAATAGATGTCATATATGTGATATGAAAGCTTATCCATTTCATTAATAGAAAAAGGAGAATTTGGCATCATTTCAATTATAACCATTATTGTTATGTAATAATTGTTTCATTGAGAAAAAATATCCTAAATTTTTGAAGAATGAAGATTTCTGTAAGTATTTTTATTATTATTCTTAGAATAATTCCAATAAACTTAAAAATATGCACCTTGGACTCAAGAAGAAATATATCGATTATTAGAATTAGTATATAAACATAAAGAAAAATGGAATGAAATAGCAAAATACTTTACAAAACGATCTTTGACTGAAATTGTTAAAATGTATCTATAACTTCCATATTCCAATTTATTTCCATCTTTAGATAAAGAACCTTCAATTCCTAAAAAACCATAAAAAGTAATTATATTAATTAAATTTATAGGAACATATTACATTTCATAATGATGTGAGTAATCCTATTCAATTAGGTGTTGCTTGTTTCAAATCATAATTAGATAAACTTAAATTACCTAATATTGAAATAATTTAAAATTAGGAACCAGAGAAAATGGATGAAAACTTAAAATAAATGATCTCAATATAAATGGAAAAGATTGAAGAACAATTATTATATCTTGAAACATATGAATAATTAATCAATCAAGAGAAATAATGTGTTTAAACGATACAAAAAAAGAATTTATAGATGTAAGTGTAGGTCTAGACTAATGATATTGTAAGTGACAATATGATGTTTTTATGAAACCATTCAATTATAATAACTATAATTCATTAAACAATAATTATATTCTAAAATCATTTAGAATTCAATAATTTATGCCAGAATTTAAACTTAATTATAAATCATAATTTCTACACATTTTCATATTTCATATGATAATTGAAATCATCAAAAAGATTATTTATTCTCTTTATACAACTTTATTCATCCTTCTCTTATAAACAATTCTCATATTTTAATTCACAAAATCTAATGAATATTTCAGATTTCATTTATAATTTCTTAAATCTCTTTTCTTTAATTAACATACAATCAGCAAATGCATCCATATTCTTTGAATTTTAATAACATAACTCTTCTTTTTATTTTATAAGTTAGTTGACTATATCAACATGATTATTTATTAATTCTCCTATAATTGGTTGTTAATGAAACATTATAAATATTACTATTTAAATCAAATTCTTATAATAAACTTTTATACTCTATTCAATAATCTATTTTTTATACTCTTGCTGATTACTATTCTAATCAACTTCCTATACTGTAGACAATCCTTAGGTTAAAATGTTTATAGATCTATAGTACTTAATCATAAATATTTAAATTTACTAAAAATAACTAATCTTCTAGTTCATATTGTTTTTACATCATAATGTAATGAATATTGAATCAATATGTTAATTAAAAGTCAAGAGAAGTTGTTTTACATTTATGAATTATTGAAATCATTCATTCTTTTATTTAGTTATATAATATTAAGTAATAAGTGCTAAGTATTAAATGTTAAGTGTATATTGTTAATCAAAAATGCTATTGTAGATTTTTGGATCATTCTATATATGTTAATTTATGTATAAACAACAGTATATATAAATAGTTTTAGAGATAATCCATAATATAAAATCAATTTCTCATTTGTAAGGTCAATTTTATTTGAGACGTAAATTAATATATACAACATTATTATAATACGAATGATAATTAATAATATCTAATTTTTATGAATATTAATGACATATATTTATCATAATTTGCATTATTAATTACTTTTTAACATAATTTCAATATCGAAAAAAGAAAATATTTTAAAAATAGAACATTATGTTTATAATCCCCCTCTTCATAGAGATAATATATGCATGTACTAATACGGCAAACACAGGATGGACCAACAATTACTAGAAAATGTTAATAACAACTGCCAATTCCATAACAAATGTGGATATCACTACTGTCTGTCCTAACATAGATCCAGCAAAGGTTCCTGGTTTAACACCCTATCAATACTTGAGTTCTAGCAGTTGTCTTGGATATTTAGGACCATTGGGCCCTTATGGACCATTATCTCAATTAGGGCCTCTGTCTAATCCCTTTTGGAATCCATACAACTTTTTTGGACAAATCTAATTGCCTACTAATTTATAATAACTAATTCAATGGAGTCAATATTAATATGGAGCTCCTATGTCAAAGGATGGTCCATTAGGTTATAAAGGTCCTTTGGCTTCAACACAATATTATGGTTAATAAGATCCAGGCAAGACCTTATTTGATACAAATGACTTTGCTGTATAATTAAGAGCCTTTGGCTTATGGTCAGCACTTGGTCCCTTAGGACCATTAGGACCTTTAGGAGCTTTGGGACCCTTAGGACCAATAGGAGATCATGGATACAGTGTTGATCTTAATGGAAATTATGTAAATGGAACAAAAGTAGTGAAGACGGTTACCATAGATTATGATGGTAGTAGTACAAGAACATATCCTTTATACGAATTTTATTAGAGCTATTATGCTAAGACAATTCTATTAGATACATCATTTTTAGTAGAGAGTGATGTTTGTTAAAGTGATGATACTTATCAAATTGGTTCTCTTCCATTTAATTAGATAGTAACATTTGTTTTGACTCCACTTTTGGGTTTAGATTCATATTCTTTGATTTTATAGGATTAATTTGGTAAAGTGATAGCTTAATCTAATGTTGATAATTACATTCAAACTATTTAATTGAATGTGAAAATGAATACTAAACTTACTATAATAGTCCATCCAATATATCTATCTACAACAATTGGATCATATAGACTATTCGTAACAGGATCAACATAATACATTACTCAGTATAATATATCTGGAAATCATATTTTATCTAATTGATTTTTATTAAATGTTATATATATAATTCATTAGTCCTCAAACTATTTTTTATGCATAGCATCTCTAATAAGATTTTTTTCATTATAGTGTTATTTTCTTTTTTTAACAAATTCTTCGTGTTTTTTTCTTTTTTCTTCTTCTTCTGAAGAATCATTATCCATATTTTTTCTTTCTCTTTCTAAATCTTCTTTTAATCTTTTATTTAATTCTTCAATATCTAGTTTCTTTTGATGTTACTACATATAATAGATCTTATTTTACTTATTGTAATTTTTGTTTATTCAATTAGGCTTATACTAAATCTTGCTCAATTTCATCTTCTACTTCAATTTTATCTTCCTATTGATTTTATTGTATAATTTCATCTTCATATGGTGTTTTTGGTTCATCAATTTTTGTTTTATTTCCTCTCTCTAAGTCTTGTTATCTAATAATATTGTATTATTCTTTACTATATTGTATACTCATCCCAATGCAATTCTTTTTTCCTATAAATAACATTGATATCAATACATATCTATATCATGTTATGATTTTTTTTTTAAAATCCCTTTTGATGATGATTTCATTCTCAAGATATTAATATAAATTACAAAAATTATTTAAAATCAAAACTTTTTAAGAATTATTCATTTGTAAAAACTATTTTTAAAGAAAATTTAATTAAATAAAATATAAGAATTTATAATAATTACACATTATTTTTATTTTATAATGTTAATAAATTTTATGATTATTTTATATTAAAATTTAAACAATATGAAAGTCAAGAGTAAATTCAATGAGTTCATCTTGTAAATTATTTGATAATAGAATCATTTTTACCTATTTATTTATTTTTTTCATATATTTTTATTTATTATAAAATCGGTCCAATATAGCTATGTTTTAGTTGTTTTTTAGGAGAGAATTAAGCTTTCTTTATAAAGTTACCTTGCAAATAATGTTATTTCTAGGATAATACATAACCATTATCTATGACAACTGAATTTTTTATATAACATTAAATTATTCGACGCTTTTTTGGAGAGACTGATTAATGTAACTTATATTCATTCTGAGTTGGTGCTGTATTAACATAATTAAGTGATTCACTCAAAAATTTGAGTTAATTTGTGGGAGTATTAGAAACAGAGTAGTCTTCCCATCCCTATAAATGTGAATATTTTTTGTTCATAATTCTTTTAATTAAATAATGCAACCGGTGTAACCTATTGCTGAAGGATAGGAAACAAAAAGTATTTATTCTTTGATTAAAGATCAAAAGGATAAGGAAGCTATTAATTATTTAAATTACGAGTTGCAATTTTGTCCTAAGAGCAGAGCATTATCTTTACTTGCATATTGTCACTATATGAATTAAGATTTTACTTCTGCTGTTTGTATGTACAAGATAATTTAAATAACATAGTTATGAATTATTAGTGAAGTATTATCCTGAAATTGATGATTATAAGATTTATTTGGCATAGTCATATTATAAGAATAGTAAGAAAGTTTATGAAAATAGGTCTCTATGATGAGGCATTAAAAAATGTGCTTCTATTGAAAATCCATAATATTAAGGCAAGATGGTTTAATTGTAAGCACTGATTAGATATGAGAAGAGTGAATTTCAACATGCAAAAACATTATTAAAATAAAATGAAATGGATGATCCAGATTCAATCATTAATGAAGGATGCATTTTATTTAAAGAAAATAAATTTGATGAGGCAAGATAAAGATTTTAAGATGGAATGAATTTAACTGGTTATTCTTGTGAATTAGCGTATAACATTGCACTTTGTTATTACAAATAAGAATAATTGGCTTAATCTCTAAAATATTTTGCAGAGATTATTGAGAGAGGAGTAAGAGAATGACCAGATTTAGGAGTAGGTTCAAATGCTGAAGGAATTGAAGTAAAAAGTCTTGGTAATTCTTAAGCATTGAAAAAATCTGCTTTGATTGAAGCATTAAATTTAAAGGCAGCTATTGAATATTCAACTGCAAAAGTGATTGCTAATTTGTGTGTTAGTTATATTATGGTCGATTGAAATTAAGATGCTGAAGAGTTGATGCGTAAATTAGAAAAGGAAGAAGAAAAATCATAATATCAAACTCCTGAAAAATCAGTTTTTCATTTGTGCATAGTAAATTTAGTTATAGGAACACTTTATTATTCAAAAAATAATTATGCATTCGGTATTTTTAGAGTTATCAAATCACTTGAACCATATAATAAAAAAATAAATAAATCAAATCTATTATAGATTAATACAGATACTTGGTATTATGTGAAGAGATGTTTCCTTGCTTTGATTGAAGTATATTAGCTAAACATATCATAATTCTAGAAGATATTTCATATAATGAAATCTTGGATTTTCTCGATGCAGCTGATCAATATGGCAAATCTATTCCCTCTGTATTTATTTATTATATATAAATATATAGGAAATTAATCCATTAGAAATAACTTGATGATAAAAATACAGTGTCATATGAAGCCAGGATGATAAAGAGGATGTTTCTTAAATTAAGAACATGAAATTATTTATATATAAGTATGTTACATAACTAATTTTAGAAAAAATTTCTTAACAAATTTTGAACTAAATAAAAGTTATTCAAAAATATGAATAGATTAATATAGAGAGAATATTCAATACAGATTTATTTTTAAAATTGCATTCTTAGAAAAATTTAATTAAAAAATGAAGCTCAAACAAAATTGAAACAAAAAACTAATAATAAAATCATTCAAAAAAAGAGTTAATATATAAAATATAAGATTCTTAATAATTAAGTATAATTGACTTAATCATGTGAATAATATTAATTGAAGGAATATTAATCTTTAATAAAAAGTCTAAGATCTTATTTGGAAGTAGAATATATAAATAAAATCTACAATAGATGATGAAGAAATGGAAATAAGTAAAATATAGATAATAAATTTAATAATGATTAAATAATTTAGAACTGTAATAAGGATTAAATACTCTTAATAATAATATAAAATATATTAGAAAATTTATTATTTATATCAATTCATATGATATAAGTATCAAAGATGTTTGAAATTTATAGATTTATGATATATTGACTATAATAATGAAGTTATTATTATAATTAACAATCTATAATGATATTTATTTATTATAAAAAAAGTGAGTTTGGTGCTTTTTTATATCTTAAATTAATATTAAAATATTTATTTTAAGTTTAAACATAGATGTAGGTTTTATGTTAATATGCTTTACCTTAATTTTACATAGTGACAAACATTATTTCTCTGGTTTATCTTATTATTGGAATTTCAAGGTATAATTATTTCTATAAAATTAGTTTAACATCTGACTGGCCAAGTTTAGTTATAGAAATCTTGCACTTTCTAGTAAGTCTAACACTAATAATAATGATTGCCGTTAAAAAACGATATCAAATAAGAAAACCTCATTTTCTAGGTGTGGCAAGTTGTTTTTCTGCTTTATCAATTATTTTGGCCATATAAAAGTTTGATCAATATTATCTTCTGTTGATTTTAGTTCAATAATTAGCCTGTTGTTTACTTATATCGTTATTATTGTTAAACAAGAAGAGAATAGGAGTTGGTGTAGTATTATAAATATATTTAATTGGATTTTTGATTGATATATTCTCTATTGACATTTGGTATTAATTATCACTATGAATATAGGGTATTTTAGAACTAATTCAGTTTGAGTAGAGCAATTGCAATTTTGGGATCTGGAGGAATTGGTTTAATAACACTAATCTTAAGTCTGTTATGTCATTTCAATCCTAAAGGGAAACTTTAAAATGAATTACACATCATAATAGGATTTTATATTTTTTGTGAATTATTTATATGTTGTAATATAATAGCTGAACTAGTTAATGTAATAATTTATACAATATTTAGGGTGTTTAAAGTATATATTTGATAGATTTGATGATACTCAAAATTTCAAATGTATTTTTGGATGTACTCATATATCCATTTGTAAGATTTCATGAACCTAATATGGAAAATAAAATATCATCTGAACCAATTGATAAATAATTTGAATGTCAAGGAATTGCAACAAAAGAAAGTGATTGTGAATTAGATAGTGCTTTAAAGATTAGATCTGATAAACAAAATGTTGTTGTAAAAGAAAAACAATCAGATACAAATAAATGGATCTAATCTCTTTTAGAACTTTATTGATTTATTAAATATATTTCTCATCAATATTATGATACCATATATTAATGAAATATATTAAACATAGAATAAAATTTTATGTTTTTAAGAGATAAACAAAGGCGCAAAAAATTAAAAGAATTTTTAAATCTTTATTATTAAATCCAGAACTAAGTAACATTTTTTTTATTTATTGACTTAGTGTTTAGGCTCCCTAACTATTAAGATCAAAATAGACCATCAGAAAATGGACTTCATATTGCTGATTTAGAAGATGGAATTACAGAAGAATAATTATATGTAGAGTTTAGAAAATTTGGATAGATTACCTTTGTTAAATTACATAGGTATATAATTTAACTATAATTAGATTTCCATTCATTGGAAAATCAAAGCATTTTGCTTTCATCTATTTCTCTACATAGGAAGAAGCAAGAAAGGCAAAAGAAGCAATGAATTACAAATAGCTTCTTAGAGAGCCAATGCGTATTACCTATATTTAGGAATATGATAAAGATGCAAATTTATTCTTCGCAGGATTTGAGTTAAATGTAACACTCTAATAGCTTGAATAATTCTTTAGCAAATGGGGACAAGTAGTAAGTGTCAAATTATCAGTTGATCAAAATAAGAAGAGTAGAGGTATATTGAAATTCTTAAATAAATTCAGGTTATGGTTGGGTATAATATGAGAGGAAAGAGCAAGCAAATAATTTATTGACTGAGAGTTAATAAAATGAAGGAAAGGTGTAATATAATGAGAAGACATAAATTATTGTGAAGCGATTTGTAAAGAAGGGTACAAATGAACGTGAAGATAAGAGAAGTAACTTATATATTAAGAACTTCTGGACTTCATTGGATACATTTGATTTGGAAAACAATTAAGTTAGAGAATAATTGGTATATATTAAAGAATTATATATGAAAAGGAAGGTGAAATGCGTACAAAATTGAATGAATGGTTCAGCACTTATGGTTCAATAATTAGTATTTTGGTTAAAATTGATATCGAACGTAAAGCTCCATTTGCATTTGTGAGTTTCAGTAGACATCAAGATGCTAAAGAAGCTTAAAAAACATTAGGTACTACCTTAGGAACAAATGCATAGAAGGATCCATTAAATACTGGAAGAAAGATGTATGTAGGATGGGCATAAACAAAAACGGATAGAAAATAATTAAGAGATAATAATTTCTATTCTAAATATATTTATGCTGATCATTTAAATAGAAATGTTACAGAAGATATGATTAGATAAACATTAAAAGATGCTGGTTATGGTGATATTTGCATGGTATTATTCAATTATATTATATATTAGATTAGATTGGAAAAAATGTAATAAGGATTCTAATAAATCATTAGAATTGGATATATTGTATTTGATCAAGCTTCAGATGCTAATAAATTGATTAAATCATTCAAAGAGAATGAAAAGTTTGATGAAATAAAGAAATTATTTGATCAAAATGTAGAATAAGCTGGTGGCAAATACTTTCAACATCTTTTCCCTCAATTATCTTAATAAAGAGGATAAAGAAGACCTAATTAAAGATAATCTCCAACAAGAAGAATGTATTAAATGCCTCCAGGTCCACCATAATATGGTACTAGAATGCCATTCCCATTCCCTATGTAATAAAGAGTTCCAGGGGGTGGAATGAGAAGACCCTATTAATAATAATTCCCAAATCCTATGAGACAAGCACCCTTACCTCCTCCTCCTGTACAATAAATAAGTGAGTTGGCTCCAGTTTAAGCTGTTGCCTTCGATAAGAGATAAGATTTAGTCGAATTATTGGCTAATTTAGAAGCTTTCAAGGCCAAACCTGAGAATGAGCAAGTCAAATAATTATAGTAATTCTTTTATTTTTATAATTTCTAGAATGATGTTGTATTATAGAATCAAAGCAAAATTATTCTAAGATACAGAAGCTCAATGGAAAAAAGTAAGTGAAGTGCTTTCAGATCCTTCCAATTATACCATTGATGAAATCCTCGATATGATTAAGAATGAAGATCAATTTAATGAATTAGTAGATGATGCTGTTGCTCAATTAAAAGAAGAAGCAGGTGATTCTGTTGCTCAATAATAAAATTAATAAGATTGGTGATAAATTTAATATTTGTTCAAATATAAATATATTTCAATATGAAATCTATTCATATAATATTCTCATTTAAGATATCAAATATTTCTATATCTATTTCAATTTTTGATTATATATTCACAATAATCTTTATTTATTAATATAATCTAATTAAAATAAATTTGAAATTCCATTATTTATAACTAATTATTTAATATTAGTTTATTTTATGATTGCATTATAGGTATATTTATGATAAAATGTAAATGTAACAAAATCAATTGGCACTTAATATAATATTATTTATTGGAATGAAAACTAACTTAATAAAGTATCCAACAGCTCCCATAACTACAAAACCAATAGCGCATGATGTTGCAATTTTAATGTATTCTATTTTTTTTTATTGTACATTCATATACCTCTTTTATCTGGTTTAGTACATTTTCTAATAAATCTGTAACTCTCTTAACCAAAACTTTAGACATCTTACAATATTCCATTGATTCCATTTAAGGTTTCTTAACTCATTTTAAATTTATTATTGAAATCTCACATTATCATTTTGTAATTTTATATTCACACTATACGTGTTAAATTAATTTATATAATTAATATATAATTATATAATCATTGTGGAAATATGCGATTGTCAATCATATTTCTATTAACGAATTTCTGTTCTCTATATTGATTTGGGATTGGTTCAATTGGATTCTTATAAAATTAACCTAAAAGATAAATCATTTAATAAATCATACCATATCCTTTATATTGAGCATCATCTAATTCTTTTCTTTTATTTTAAATTCTACTATTTTATCTATTATTATTAATGTTTTCAGTCTCTTACATATCTGTATTAAAAATATTTGAAGTTTTATTCTTCATCGAAGTAACTTTATGTTATTACACTATATGATTATAATAATATATAATACATTAACTAAATTAACTAAGTGCATCATCCTATTATTATTATTATTATTATTATGGTTCTTGAACTCTTTAATTAGTATAAGCATTCTCATAAGCAATACCTGTGATAGGATTATATTAGGCAATTGGTGGTTTACCATTGTACTATTATTTACTACCACTATTTCCTTATTTGTACTTGATTTAAATATTATAAAAAGATACTTTTGAATATAATTCTTCATCATCATTTGGTTATTGATAATGATCATATTTATTTGATTATTGTAACAATTATGGTTATTCATATGTGTTAGGATTATTATAATTTGAATATTGTTTTCCATTATTATAATTATCTAAAGCATCCTAGTAATATTAATCTGGTTGCTTGTACAAAGCAGCTAATTCTTATTTTTTGTTCATTTCTTGAATGTATAACTACTTCATATATTCTTCTTCTTGATTTTACTAATTATGTAATAGAATACTTCGACAACTGGTACATATGTTTATGCTTGATATGAAGGTATATATGAATTTCTTTGATCTTGACCGACTTTTCCTGCAATTTTGGAGTCTCCCTTTCTGGTTTAATCTATATCCCATCCTATTTTGAATCCTTATCTGGTATTTGGGTTATCTAACAATATTAATAAATAATACCATTGTATGTTCTTATTGAGTTTTTTTTATCTCCATCGTAAAATACTTAATTTTTTGGTGCTCCTCTAGACTAATAAAGACTTATATAATTTTAAAACCATTGCTAATTCTTCTGTGTTTTGAAATTTAATTAATATTAATAATCTAATAATTGATATTAAAATTCAAATATATGTCGTTAATTATAAATAATAGATTCAAATATGATAAGATCATTAATCATTTTATTTATTAATTTATAGTTTTTAATTCAATATTAATTTTAGCAGTGGTTTAGATTTCTGATAATCGATTTCTCAAATTTATATCATCAGCCCAATCAGTATCATTTCTAAGATTGTTAATTCAATTTTATTTACTTTTAATAATTAACATGTAATTCTTTCAATTCAGACCAAGACTTTATTGAAAATAACATCACAGTAACTGAATTCCCAGTACCTTGAACATTTTCAAGACTTAAAAACAATCTCTGTAATTCTTTCAATTTACATAAACCTTTAAATAAAGTATTCACACCTTCATCTCCTAAAGGATTACTAATTATTTTATTAAAAATATATTACTGATCAAGTATTAAATTGACTATTTCTAACTAAGTTGCTTAACCAAAACCATTATACAATAATTCCATTCCATCTAATCCTATTTAATTTGATCTAAAATTTAGATTGATATTTCTTAATTTCTTTTGAGTTGTCAAAAAACGATTAACATATCTCAATCCAAAAGAAGTGCAAGATACACTAAATATTTATATTAATATTTACTTCTCAATCCAAAACTTTAATTCTCTCAATGATTATTACATTTCATGAAAAGCTTTTGCTAAAAATCTTACTCCATCATCTTCAATACGATTTTTGGATAAATCAATTACTAATGAACTTAATTTCTATAATTTAGGCAATACAAAACCAAGAGATTCACATCCCTTTTTTGTTATTTAATTATTCCATAATGTCAAATTTAAATGCTTTAATTTATCACATTTAGATAATCCTTTAGCAAATTCCTCTACACCTAAATCTTTTATTTATGAACCCCAAAGTACTAATTCACAATTCTCTAATTCAGATATACTTTCTCCAAGATCATAAAAACCTTCATTATGCATAGGATTACTGATTTTAGAAAACATAAAAATACTTTGAAAAATTTATAGCTAAATTTGTTAGGAGTGGTAATTTTTTCAAAGATTGATTTAACAATTTAGAAAGTACTTAATTCATATAATTACTTTCAAGATTTAAATCAAGTTTTTTTAATTTTGGCATAGCACATATAACCGTAAAAAATGCCTCGCAACATTCCATTGGTAAATGATTTCTTAATTAATTTAGAACTTATACAATCCGAAATCTAATTTTAATTCTTCCATCTGAATTAAACCTTCTAAAAGAGGTAATGAATTATTAATCCCTTCATCTGACAATTGATTATTAGATATTTCTAAAGTCAATCTTTTTAAATCACTCATTCTCATTATTGCCTTTGTTAAAAATAACAATCCCAAATTCCCTAATTTATTACTTATTAATATATTATAACATTTATACTTCCATAATTATAATTTTAATTCTTTCAATTTTTAAGCTCTACTTAAAATTTTTTCAATTGGTGCAATAGTTCTAACATTTAAACAACTCATTTCTAATTTTATTTGTAATGTAATCATTTAAAAATTTTTAATTTATTAAGCTATAGTTTCTAAAAATTTAAGTAATTCATCTTATGATTTATTTTACATTCCATTTAGATCTAATTATACATCTTCCTTATTTTTAATATCTAATTAAAAATCTTCCAAATTATTTATAGATTATAAATGTTTATGATTGATTTTAGCAGGCTATTTTTAAATGATAATCATTTACAGATTTAACTTCCAAATATGATCTTTCTTCAATAATTTAACTTAATTAAGAAAAATCATATCTCTAATCAGAAGATATCTCTAACATTAACTTTAAAATTTTAGAAACCCCTTTGATTCTAGGATATAATTCTTTGACTTTCTTTCTTTGTTCTTTTAAATAATTCTACAACTTTGTATCATCATCAAATAGCTCTTCTTTTTACTAATATTATAATTATTTGATATTACCTGTTTAGTAATATTATGAGTGGTCGCAAAAAATAGAAAAACCAAACCAAGAGAGAAAACATCACTTTTATAAGGATTGTATTTAGCCTAAGGCTTTCTTCTTTTAAATGCTCTGTAGACTTCTGGTGATTGATAAGTGACTGTACCACCAATAGTTCTTGATCTTGACTCTTCATCTATTATTTCAGTACCAAAACCAACCTAGTAATATAGAAAGGTTTATACATCACAAACTTTAAACAAGAGATTCTCATCATTGATTAGAATAATATTCTCTGGTTTAATATCTCTATGGGCTATTTTAATTTATTAAAGATGTGAATGTGCTCTGATCATTGTTACAAAGAAATCTGCTACTTCATACTCTAGAAATCTGAAATCCGGATCCGATTACTTTTTGGATTAGATGTATTGCTATAAGTTAGTGATGCCTAATTCCATGACAATACAGCCGAAGGTGATGGACTGCATTTAAGAGATAAATGAGTACTTTATCCTGCGTAGTTACCTTCTCATAATAGAAGCTTTCCTCAAAGGATACTATATTTGGATGTGGATAAGCCTTAATTTTTTGTAAGATCTAAATTTCTTATTAAAACTTCTCTTTCAATTATGCATCAATCAAGACTTGTTTAATACAACATTTTTGTTTGGTCAATAGATTTTCAGCCAAGTAAACTTCATTCCAAGTCTTGGCTATAATACTTATATATCGATATTCTGGGTTTATATTACCAGTCATCATATTTTTTTTAATTATTAAAATATTATAATTTGTAACATTCATCATAAATGTTTCCTGGTCAAATCTGATCTAGATTCAACTTTTATTTGAAGATTATATTATAATCACTTATAAAATAAAATACAAGTAAATTCTATTTAACATTTATAAATATCATTTAATAATCCAATTTAATTGATATTAATGATATTACATAATAATTTAAAGATAATTACAATAAAGTTGTTAATTTTAAATGTATATATTAATTGATAGAATTCAGAATTCATAAAAAATAATCTGGATTCTAATTCCAAATCTTTGTTTATGCATTCTTCATTTAATTCTCACTTGCTTAAAATATTTTAGCTCTCATTTCCAACTTATCACTAACTTCACATACTGCTCCTGAATTACCACATCTATAACAATAATTAGGAGCAGAAAATATTGTTTTTAATTAATCTTTGTATATACTACGATATCCTTCCATTATTACTTAATGTGCTCTAAGTACACAACTTAAATTATTTGTTTATAAGAATTATGTAAAAACATCTTAACCAAATTCTTTACCTACTCCTCTTTTACTTTCACCAAATCCTTTTAATTCCTATTCATTTGGATCATTCCAAAGTAATTCACACATCTCACCATTATCAGGTATCTCTGACAATCTATTTAATGCTCTTACCTAATATATTTTATAACAATAATATTATACATCATCTAATAATTTAGCATCTTAAGCTATACCACCATGTACACACCATATTTTCTCATCAATTAATGCAGATAATGGCATATAATCAAAAGATTCAGTTAAATATCTCCAAATATTTAAGGAACCATATTTCCTCATTGCTTCATCATATAATCCAAATGTTTAAGTAAGAATTCTAGATTCATGATTACCTCTTAATAAAGTAATTTTGTCAGGATTCTTAATTTTTAATGCATATAGTAAACAAATCGATTCTATACTGTGAAATCCTCTATTAACATAATCACCTAAGAACAGATAATTTTAGTCTCCAACTTCTCCTGATTGTTTGAAAATCTCAAATAAATCATATAATTATCCATGAATATCTCCTACTACAATAACTGGAGGATCTATTCTTTAAACATTTCCTTCTTCAATAAAGATTTCTCTTATTTTAGCACACAATTATTTTACATCTTTCTCTTTCAATAACTCTCCATTCTTTAATTTCTCAATAGACTTGTCTAAATCAGTTTGCATTATTTTTATATATATATTTATTTATATATGAAATTCTCTATATAGACAATCAATTAGTTGGTTTGTCTTCAATGGCTTTTTATTGACTTGATTCCCACATTAATCTTCTAATTAATAATCTTCCCTATAAAGTTGCATTAAACAAATGCATGCAAAATAGGATATAACTTTGTGGAGATATTCTAAGTGCCCATCTCATAAACAAAGAAGAATAACCTAATTTTAATTATAATTCTTACAAACTAAAACACATTGCATCTCCTTGCTGATTTTTGCAGGATCTCTATTCCAATCATATAATGCTTGAATTGGGAAAAACCAATTACAAACTGGAGCCCAAAAATGTGTAGTTTTAGGTCCTGTTGAAGAGTGTACCCAAGTCCAAAATATTCCTGATGCTTTACTAGCCATTAGATTATATTATTATTAATATTAAATTCAAATCCAATCTCCTTATTAACCATCATAATATCTATATTAGACATAATTATAAAGATCTTAGACGCATTATTGGATTAGAAGGTCTTAAGACATATAACAAAATTATTATCATGTAATTGATATCCTTTAAAAGATGTGTGTATCTTTTTATAGAAAGTATTTATAATAATTTATTTCATAATTATTATAAATATAAGATACTAACGTATATTATAATTATACATATTTTATAATAAATAATTTATTGTATTTGATCAAAATATAAACTAATAATTGAGTCTAATCATCTTATTAATCTACATTTCTTATTATTCAAAAAGCAATTGATTAATTTAAATTCTTGTAATTTTATGTGTATTGTATATGTACTTATATGTATTTCATAAATCCATAACTATTCATAATCAACTAATTATTAAATATTAAGTCTTAAACATTGTTTGTTTCAAACCAAAGTTTTATTGTTTTTTTCAATAATAAATGAGTCATATGATTCATAATTATTATACATCATTTTTACTTTTTATGTATTCAGACATTTAATAATTTAAATTATAATTCAATGAATTAAGGAGAACATCTGAATAAATAAGAAGATGATCAAAAATTTACAGATGGGGATCAAACATTTATTAATGAATAGACAGATGATGATAAACGATTCTCTAATACTGTTGTGGATAACAAAGAATAGAGTGGATTGGAAGCCTTATTAGTATATTTGAATATAAATTGAAATAGGAATTAGATAATCGAAATAAATAAGAGTTTTTAAGTTCAGAAGAGAAAAATCTCTTTCAAGAATTCATTGTTATATGTTAAATTAGAAAGGATAAATATATGAGTGAACAAGATCCACATCTTTAGTTTTTAATGGATAAAGCAGTGTCCAAAGGTGTACAAAAGATTTTAAAAGCTTAGAAGATTTAAGATAAAGAACAATGGCAAGTATGCATTAATTACCATATTAGAAAGAGCAATAACGATTGATGAGACTATTCTATTCAGATATGAATATTGGTTTCATTACATCAACAGGGTAACTCAAATCTACAGTATTCATCTATCTTCATCAATCTATAGCAAGTTATTTAGATAATCGTTAAATCAATTTGAATTTTAATAAAGAGGATCTAAAAATTATAGCCAATTATTTCTCAATTGATGAACGCAATAAATCTAGTAAATCAAGTCCTGAATTTACATCACCTATACTAACTAAAGAGAAATCAGAAAAAGAATAATTTAAATAAAATAGTGCAGGTTCAAAGACTATATCTCAAAATGAAGGAGAAGTTGAAAATTAATTAAAAAAAAGTTTGCCTCTATGTCATCAAAGTAATTGGCTTAAATAAGAATTTATTAAAAAAGATTACTTTAAAAAGTAATTCCTCATTCTTCAAAAAACAAATGAAAATGAACTAAAATCTGGAGTTCAAATCTTTTTTGTTTATAGAATAAAGGATGATCAAATTTATGCAGTAAAAAAAGTATTATCATTTATATCTATGTAGTCTTAATTAGCTTCAAATGTTATTTCTTTTTTTGATGTGTTTTCAACAGTAAACCTATCAGAAATTACAAATGATTAAAGAAAAATAAGAGAAGCCAAAATATTATCTAAACTAAACCATCCAAATGTTCTAACTTTATATGATTGGTGGATTGAAGAAGAAGAATCTGGCTATTCACTTTACTTAATGTCTGAATACTGTTCTTATCCTGGACTTAAACATCAAACAAATGATCTACTCAATTATGCTTATTATTATCTAAATCCAATGAATTGTAAAGAAAAAATAGAACAAATCAAAACAATCATGTTGTAAATCATGGATGGTTTAGAATACATACACAAACGAGGAATTGTACATAGAGATTTAAAACCAGAAAATATCTTTGTTACTTATGGAATCGATTGCCAACTATAAGTTATGCTGGCTGATTTTGATTAAGGAAAAGATGTTAGAGAATCTAAACTCTCTATTATTACAGATGAAAAATTAAATGATTAAGATCTTAATTCTATTAAATCAAGAAATACTATTAATTCAGGCACTAGTGGTTATGCTACAGCTAATTCTTAGATTAACAAAGAATATGATAAAATGGATGAGTTCTATGCTTTGGGTGTTACTCTACTTCATTTGATATTGGCTTTCCCAGGTGAACCCAAAAATCGCAATCTATACACTAATACATTTGCCATTAGTGATATTTCAGACGTCCTCCTCTTATTTGATAGTTGGGCTGTTAAATTAGTACAAAACAGACATCCAGAATTCAACTTCTAATAATATTTTCATCTTATGGAACTCGCAAAGGCACTTCTTGATAAAAAAGTCAAGGAACATGATCACATAAGAAAAATCATACAAAGTTGGTGAATTGTTGTGTATTATAATTCATCTTTAGATTTATATTAGTATGCTTATATAAATCTGAATTAATAATTATTCTACTAATTTTCATTAATACAATCTTTTTAATAATTAAATATGTATAATTTAATAACCCAAAAATAAATTGTATTTTTTTTAATAATACATATAACCCTTACATATATTTTACCTTTGATTTTATTAGTCGTTATTAGATATAAGTTTTGTTAGTAAATTTTGAATACATCATATTTACAATATAAAAGATTTCTATTAATAACAGATCTGTTACTAAAATTTTGATTCTTGGTATATTCTAAAATTATATTTTTTAATCAATCAAATTCTTTAAAGATTTTAATGAAATTAATAGATTACTTCTATTTAATGAAATAATTTTATAAATTATTTAGATTTGCATTTTTAAATAATTTTCCATCTTCTATAAATAAATTAATCATTTTTAAATTGAATACTTTCACATCCAATAATGTTATGAGAATTTTCAGAAATCTTCACAATAAAATTGATTGTTTGAAAATGAAAAATTCTTGTATATTTAGATTTTTAAATTTAAACTTTTTGATTATGTTATTATGAGATAATAATTCAAAATAGAACTATTAAGATTAAGTTTAAATGAATAATTAATATATATAAATATTAATGAGAATTGTTATTTAATTTTAAATATGAAATTGAGAATAAAAATTATAATTTTTAATATTTTTAAATTAACCAGAATTCTCAATTATATTAGAATAATGTTCTTATATGATAATATGATTGAAAAAGCATAAAATTGAAGGTTGAAATCTTTTTCTTATTTCAAAACACATTAATTAATGTTAATTCAAGATTAGTGTCCAAAAATTCTAATTCATTAAATATATAATAAATTATATGACGCCAAACTAATTAAAAATGCTACTATGCGTATTTTAAGTAGGTTTCATATCATGTGGGCTTTATTTCTATATATTCTGGAAGAAATTAGATCATGTAAAGATTACTTCTCTAAATTTCAGAAACCTTATTATGAATAGCTAGCTTTTGTGTATGGGTTAGTTTTAGGATTCACAGAATTATTAGTAGCAATAATTCTATTCATCCTAATTAAAACTAGAGTTTAAATCACATCCCTGGGATAGATTGGTCGTTATATTAGACAGAACTGCTACAAAGAATATTATGCATTAATTATAATAAATTTGGTATAGAACTTAATAATTAGGCATTTCTTATCACATTCAACATAATAACCATAGTTGATTAAGAATCAGTAAGTTTTATGAATATTTAATCTCTCCACTTTATAGCAGCATATTATACTCAATCAGTTCTTTTTGCATTATTTTCAAATGACCTATTAAAGAGAAGAGCCTTGATTCCTAATGAATATATGTTTGAAAGAGAAGGAATATATAGATGTGCATATGAAGTTCTATATTACGTAATGTGTTTATTCATTGTATTAAGTAAATATGTAAATATAAAATATTGATAGGTTATTTTTTGGTTACCCATTTTGAAAAATTACCAGAACCAAATTAAACATTATGTTAATTGATCATATTCACATTACTCTACTTATTTTATTCAATAACTAAATTGGGTATCTTGATAAAAATATTTTTAATTATAACAACTACTAGATTACTTTATTCAGCAATAAATTCAATTAAAGACTTAAAGGATGATTAACAAAAAGGTTGTTAGATTACTTTAGTTGTGATTATAATACTATTTTTGATGAGAATGGTTTAATAAAGTATAATAGGTATTTTAAGAGCAAGAGAATAATATTTACATTAAACTTAACATCAAACACCTGATATATTGAGTGCATTAAATTTATTACCACCAAGAGATCCTTATGTAAGACCATAAATGTAAATAATAAGTGAGGAATAAATAGAAATGATGCCATAATAAAAATTCAAAATGGAAAATGAATTTGTATGTTCAATATGTGATATGAATCTATTAAAGAATGAAATGGTGATGAAATTAAATTGTTCCCATATTTTTCATTCAGAATGTCTTAAACCATGGATAAGAATAAAGAATTCTTGTCCTAATTGCAGATAACAAGTGTTACGTTAATCTAATTAATAAGAATTATAAGAACATCCTTAATAATAATAATAATAATAATAATAATAAGTTTAAAATGAT